AGTCGGGCCTCGCTCTGTCGCTCAGGCTGGAGTGCTGCGGCACGCTCACGGCCACTGCAGCCTCCACCTGCCCGGCTCAGGTGATCCTTCCGCCTCAGCCTTCCAAGTAGCTGGAACTATAGGCGCACGCCACCACGCCCGGCCAAGTTTTGATTTAGTGTAGAGACGAGGTCTCACCGAGTTGCCCAGGCTGGTCTTGAACCCCCGGACTCAGACAGTCCTCTCGCCTACACCTCCCAAAGTGCTGGGGTTTCAGGCGTGAGGGCCCAGCTGGCAGCTTCCTCTTTTCTCTACCTGATACCGTCTTAGGGTGACTCACCATCATCTCTTCAGCTCTCTGGGCTTCTGTCTCTTTTTCTCCTGGCTTCAGTCATGCTTAAACAGTTAGCAGCTCTCACAATGATGTGTTTGAACCACCTGGACTTTGCCCATGCCTCCTGCCTGGAGTGCCCCCTCTCTTTTCCCTTCCTCCTCTTCTCCCTTCCTTTTCACCTTTTCTCCTCCCTCACCCTTCAGGTCTCTGCACAAATGTCTCTTCCTCCAGGAAATCTCCCTGACTCTTCCTCCATTCCAACGTCGTCACTGGCCTGTGCTCTCTCATCTCAGCCCTGACCACTCTGGGCTCTTTCTCAGGAGGAGTCTGTCTTCCACTCTGGGCTGGAACCCCCAGGAAAGCAGGACCCAGAGATGCCCTGATCACTGCTGTGTCCCTAGTGCCACATATCCCAGAGTGAACACTCAGTGTCTTGGAGAGATGTATCTACTCACAATGTGCCAGGCGCTTGACATTCATGAGCTTGTTTAGTCTATTTTTTTTTTTTTTTTTTGAGTCAGAATCTCAATGTTTGCCCAGGCTGGAGTGTAGTGTGGCACGTTGCTCACAGCCACCACAGCTTCAACCTGCTGGGCTTAGGTGATCCTTCCGCCTCAGCCTTCCAAGTAGCTGGAACTACAGGAGTGCGCCACCACACCCAGCTAATTTTTTGTTTTATTGTAGAGACAAGGTCTCACCATGTTGCTCAGGCCGCTCTCGAACCCCTGAGCTCAGGCAATCCTCTTGCCTCTGCCTCCCAAAGGCTGGGATTATAGGCATGAGCCACCGCGCCCAGCCTCGTTTAATCTTTTAATACCGGCA